TGGTTGGAGAGAAAATTTATGTGATTCCAGGTGAAATAGGTATTGCATTAAAGGTTGCCGTCCTTATTATATGTTCTTTTATACAGTTCTCACATCCACTGTTCTCGTGACACGTAATGTTCAGTCAGTATATCTTCATATATACGGTTGTCTCAACCGAAAGAATATAGCAGTCTCTTTGTTGTGGTCTGCAGAAAAAGTACTATGATTGAGAGATCCATAGGAGTTGGTTACGCCATACAGTACTGAGAGTAATGCTCGAACAGGTGACAGGCAGCGAAGAAAGTCGTATCACTTTCAGAGTACTGTAATCATTACATTTTTTTTCTATGCATGAGAGAAAAATTGCAAAAATAACATTAATTTTGTTGCAGCAACCACATTTAGGCAAAGACTTTTAGTGTTTTCTCCATACTACGCGGTTCCTTGGACGATCCGTAGTCCCTTGGCCGATTCTTTATTTCGCGAATAAATCAACGGTGGTGATCCATCCTGATTACCGCGCAGTCACTCGACACAAACGAACGGAAGAGTTTATACTTGCCATGCTTGAAACGCCATTCGTTTCTCGTCACGTTCGCCTAAATCCGACGCGCGCGTGTTTAATTCGTACGGAAGCTATTCCTCACACGCGACGCGAAATGAGGATATTTTCATCCATATAAAGAGAACAGTCCGTGCTAAAGCTCGAGAACGAATAAAAGCGAGGCAATAACGGGAATTCGGGCGACCGCGAGTCAAGTAACGAACTCTCGCGTGCAATTTTGCATTGCAATTACCTGTCGTCGACGATCGAGTTTTCTCCAAGTTTCTCCTGTTCGTTCGCGGACTTTAAAATTCAACGAAACCTGAGAAAATCGTCTTTCTTATCGGAATATAGCGCTCTTCGTTTCTCTTGAGCGCAAGCTACTTGATCGATCGTGAGAATAAAAAAAGTCGTGAACGATGCTCGTTTCCTGACACACGGAACCGACGCGATTCGCGCATTTTGTTGTCACAGCAATATATTAATGCTATGATTGTATCAACCATAGCATTCTGGAAGAGTGACACCGGCCTTCTTCGCTACCTGTTCACAGGCTTCGTGTTTGAGCGGTACCAACTCCTATAAATCCCTCAAGCACAGTACTTGTGTTGCAGACTCCTACAGAGAGACAGTGATATTCCTTCAGCTGAGATAACTGTACATGAAGATATTCTAACCGAGCATTACGACGTATCATAAGAACTGTGGCTGTGAGAACTGTATAGAAGGACATACACAATAGTAACAACTTTTAATATAACATCTACGTCATTTGAAATCACCTAAATTTTCTCCTCAACCATATAGCGAATGTGTCGATGTAGCAATCACATAGCAGTTACAATTGCCAGTCTCGAAAAGTGCAATTTCTTTCGGTGAAATTCTCTCCACCGCTTCGATTATACGTGAAAGTTCTGCTAAGCATCTAATCGCACGAGTTCGATGAACTTTGTCGATGAACCATCGAACGGTATTGTATCGTTGCAACCCAGGTGCGGCCGTTAACGTCGGCAGTCTAAATGACTGTTACCGTAAAATATGAATACTCAGTTAACGGTGGCGGATGTGGGGGAGGGTGGGTGGAGGAGGGTGGCGGGGATAATTGTCTCGGGATTTACTTGCAGACAGGTCTAATGTGATTGGTAGTTCCGAAGCGGACGTGGGGGCTTCTCGGGGGACAATCGAGTTTGCGCTCGGCTAGCAATTACGCTCTCTGCTCGTTACGCGGTTTGACAAACTTTCTCCCGCGGCAGCGAAAGACGTCGTGTCCCGTGCGCCCGATTGACGCCGTTTTCGCGGAAAGTTGCGGTAATTGCGTGGCAAAGTAGATTTCGCTGCTTGTTCACTCATCGCGCGCCGGCTAAACAATAACAAATATTTGGCGACGGTGGAGGCGCATTTAATTTATCCGTTCGCTTTTAACTCCCACGACAGCGTTAGTCGAGCGTCAGAGTTAACAGCTTTAAATTGCTCCGCTAACTTGGAATGTGCATCGCGTCGTAGCTCTGAATGAAACCGCACGTACACCATTGTAAACGCAAAAACGCGAGCACAATAATTTCAGCTTTTCTTTTTTCTCAGCACGTTACTCGATTAATTAGTGATAATAACGGTTATTTCGAAAAATTTTTTTCTTATTCAAAATATCTGAACATTATAACATCACACAATATATTTATCACACAATTATTTGTGTAATAAATACTTAGACATATACGTACTTGGTTAATTATATTGATTTCACTTCTTTTTTTAATTAAATTAATTTAAAACATCTGCACTTTGTTTAAGTTAACATGTACTTTGCATTTTGTAATTTTTGTTTTGATAATTTTTGGTCTTTTTTGTTTAGTATTTTTTATTTGATTAACAGTTATCTCGACTCGGCGTATTAGGTCGAGTAGCGGATCGTAAGCAAGTGATTCCTATCCCGTTCTAGAATTCATCAAGCCCTCAGGTAGCTTCGTAAATTGTCGTGTTTGTTTAATCCCATGATAAGAACCGCGTCTTTACGATAGGTATTTTTTTTTTACGAGTACTAAACTGTAACGATTGTAGCGAAATAAACGAATAAAAAGTCGTAAATGAAGTACATGGCACAGATAGGAGAAGCAGAACGGACGGTATCCGTTGCTATCTAAATTAAGTAGAACCGAGTGCCCTCCGGCAGAGAGAGAGAGAGAGAGAGAGAAAGAGAGAGAGAGAGAGGAGTTTCCGCTTGTTTTCGAATAAATCGCGCAATCTACCTAGAATTTTACGCGCGCTCACTTGGCAACGCGTTATTTAAACAACGCCGCGAGTATACAACACCGGTTTCTTCGCTTGGTTTTACTTTTGCACGAGCAATTCTTCTCGCTGAGCATTCCATCGGGCGCGGGATCCGGGTAGCTTTGCTGCTACTTTGTGAAAAAGGGATTCTACCGGCGCAAAGATAAAGCCGCGTATACGGAAATAAAATGTAAGTGTCTTGATCAGAGCAAATGTACGCGCACAGCTCGCTACCCTAATTCAATTGGTACATTACGGGGAGTTACGCGTATGCAACGTTTGGCCATGATGCGGTGGTTACAGTTATTGGTTTATGCACCTCTCGCACAGCATAACCATATTTTACGATAATGAATTTAAAATCCCTGTAAAAGAGGAGAGAGAGAGAGAGAGAGAGAGAGAGAGAGAGAGAGAGAGAGAGAGAGAGAG